CCTTGGCAGGAGTAAAAGTTAAGAAAAATTTAGGGAAATTAGAAACTTTGCTAGTAAATAATTAATATACCAGTAATAATTAACATAAAAATTATGGAGATTGTAGAAAGTTGTAAATTAATTAAATTATACATTTTTTATTATGTATGGTTATTAAGTAACAATATCTTGGTGTAAGAAAATTATATTTTATGGACTTTATGAATATTAACATATGAACATATTATGTCCATTTTAATTCTGTTCTTCAAAAAAATCATGCTGTAACGGTAACCATTCTCAATAGGAGTAATCTGAAATCAATATTAATACATTTTTTTATTTATTAGAGTAATATAGTTATCGGTTTATGAAGCAAATTTTGAAAAAACAATATTTTGCAAAATGGGGAAAAAATTAAATTTAATCTTTTTACTAAAAAAAATCTGAGTTTGTAAAGTAAATAAATAAATAAATAGTGGTTTTTGAAATTTGCCTCCACGAATTGATAATTATAACCCTAATAAATAAAAAAAATGTATTGATACTGATTTCATATCACTCCTATTGAAATCAGGATGGTTATTGTTAAAGTATGATTTATGTTCTTTTGCAGAACAAATTTGAAATAAACACAGCGATGTTAATATTTATCATAAAATATAATTTTTTTATACCAAGATATTGTTACTTAATAAATATACATAACAAAGAATTCATACTTCTATTAATTTACAATTTCTTACAACTTCCCAAATTTTTCCTAACTTTTACTCCTGTCAGGGTCCTGTAACCCTTTAAATGTCGAGAAGGAATGTGACTCGCTGCACGCGAATAATTAATACGCCACTTTACAATTTTATATAATATTACAATGAGTTCTTTGTAGAATACACAGAATGCTTTATATTTTTACAAAAATATTTTTTAAAATTTATATATATCTTTCTCATACTTATGTGTGTGTGCGTGTATATGTAGAATAAAGATATTATATTCTTATATGTAAAATATATATTATTATAAGATGTTTCCAACAAGACTCACCTTATGATAGAGAGTCTTATAATCCTCGCACAGTTTAATGCACTCGTCCAAGATCTTTATACTCTTCCTCACCTTCCCTGCAAATACATCTGCCAGATTGATAAAGCCTTTGGACATGATGACAATCTGGTTGCTGAGGGCGCTGAAAAGATTGCTTATCCTCTCGCGGGTATTGTAGTAAGGGGAGTTCAACCAAATCGTCCTGAAGAGATGCATCATTTTTGGCAGATATTGTGCCACGCTCGCGGGAGTTGTACAAGTCTTCAACTCAGCGCAAGTGTCCTTCAGGATGCTCAGGAACTCGATGTTCGATTTTGCCTCGATTGTACCGTGCTCGATCTCGTCTTTCAACATCAGGAACTGACGTGTGTAAGTGGACTGCGCAGCCAATAATATGTTGATAATAAGCCCCACCGTATTTTTATGTAGCTGATAATTCAAACCGCAGAGATTGTCATCTGACGAAAAGAAAAAGAAGCACGTATTTAATAATATAAACAAGTTAATTACCGCGATAGCTGTGTGCAAAATTTTGAAATTCAAATTCATGATTCACTTGTCTATAAATACACACAATTTTGTTAATTCAATAGCAGTATTAGTGAAAAATACTTATTTTATTAAAAAAAACTTATTTTTTTTAAACAAAAGCATGACGTATTAAATTAACAAGATTATTTCCAATTAGACTAATGTTGTTAATACAACATTTTTTCCGAGTACGTATAAAACGAATAAAACGCATAAAAATTTTATATTTATGCCCGCTCTGAATATGTATGAAAGAAAGCTTCAGATGTCAAATTTCTTTCTAACTCTATGACGTAGAAAGAGAGAGACTCCGCTAAAATGTCGCATTAAAGGAAACTTTTGTCCCTCCTAAGAAATTTCCGGACATATATTATCGGGAAACGATTCTATCCTCTCTCTTCTCTTCTTGCAGCCACTATATACGTCTTTCTTTTAAGAGTAAGCACTTACATCGATAAGTCCAGAAGTCATATTCGTCGTCGAGGCACAGTAACTCGTGCGGGCTCGCTTGTTCCTGGTCAGAGAGGGCTATTTTGATTTGGGTGTTCCAATAGGCCATCACACCCTCCAACCTCTTCACCAACTCCTTATCGGCGCTACCCTCCTCCGTGGTGAACTCCCTACTCTTCAGAGGTACATATATCACGGTTAAGCCCAGCATTTTGTACGTGAGGTCCGTTAAATTGCACAGGAAGGTGTCCAGTTGGGTGCAGAAGTCCGCTTTCACACATGTGTTTCGGTGCGATTAAGAAAAAGAAAATCCAGAAACGTGATACGACACCGAACCTCGTTATCGGTCTTCCCAATACCACCATTTTTTACACCGCTTCAAGCTGTCTCGGCGGTCTATCATATAGAATTGTGTAGCATGTATCATTGCCACCCTACGTCTGCTGATGGAGATTTATTGAGTCGAATTGCCCGCGCTGTATATCGAAAGTGATCGACTACATTGTCATTGTCACGTCGATTTACAACTGAAGCGTGCGGTTGTAAATCTTATTAAATACAAAAATTGGAGAAAGGCGAAAAGATGACTGTTCTGCACTTGAAATGAAATAACGTATGCAAAACTTAATGTTTAATGCAAGAAATATAATATCACGTTTTTTACCATTATTGTAAAGACTACGTATCGTTTTGTGAACTTTGAGCTATATCTCTAAATTTTTTACAGTGATATATAATACACTTGAAAAATTGAGTGACTGGTCGAATCTTTCGAATTAGAGTGAGTTTTCACTCATAAGAGTGAATTCTTCTACTTTTTGTTGTAAAATGAAAAATTTACTCTGCAAAATGAAGTAAATATATGTACTTTATTTTGTAGAGCGAATATTTTCATTCTATGTGGAGTGAATATTTTTATTCGTGAAGAGTGAGTAAAGCGCACGTAAAACGCCGTGCATTAGCAAAAGAAAAACTGTCGTCTCGTTGTTTCTCGACGTTATTATTTTTTATTGCGCGTGTACTTGGTACGAGACATCCGTATCTCTTGATAAGAATATATATAAAGATTATAGTCTTTATATCCTTACCAAGGGATACTTTATGTCCTTAAACGTTAAATGAACTAATTATGGTCTATATATGTGTATAATATACATAATTGATATATAAAAATGTTAATATATATCTCATCCAGGGGTAAGTGCGATGCTTATAACAATTTACGTAGTTTATTTATTGATTTAACGTGTTATATAAAGAATGGTGTTTAGATTAAATGGTGAGATTAGATTTCTAGAATAACACTTTCTCTTTGCATTCAGAGTCAAACAGTTCACTTTTGTAAAAAGTGAATTTTTACTAATTACGAGTAGCAGTATTTTCACTATCGTTTAAAGTAAATATTCAGTAGTTTGGAGTTAGATTTCATTCTAAGAAATTTAGAGAGATCGCTAATTTAGCATGTACTATACGTTCTATAAGCATTGTGTTAATTAATCATATTAATCATACGGTTATAGAAATAAAAGTTGAAATCATGATTGAATCAAAATATAATCCACGATCGTCGCGTATATATGAGAAGATAAAAAAAACGCGACGGAAGTTGTTGGACGTTCTGGTACAATTAGCAAAGCGACGTTTCGATCCGGTTAAAATCCGCTCAGGATCCATTAGAAATAATGAAGTGGCTCCCGTACGAATGCAATGCAATCGTTTCTAACTTGACGGCGGGAGTAATCCCGTTCGCGTACATGGGCAAACATCGACGCTGGATTTACCAGCGGCGGTGAGTTGTGCAGTGCATTTAGCCGAAAATTATGGTAATAATAACTTTCGTGCAATTCCCAGGAGTCCACCCCCCCCCCACTTTCCCGTCCCGGCTCCCCCGGCGGACGGGCCGGAACTTTGTGTCGTGCGTTGCGGTAACGGGATTGCAGCGCTAAAGTTGGAAATTCACTTGGTAATGTCATCACGTTAGATTGTTATGACCTTAAGCCGGAGCAACTACCGACGATCGCGATGATCGCCCTTGGCATTGTGAGACTGGCCCGTCGTGGCTCCTTTGTCACCGCTGTCGATTGAAACACTCATCATCAATCGGTTACGGTGCATACACGATTATTCGACGGTATTCGACACAATTGACACCGAATTACGGCTAGACCGCAAAGTTTTCATTATATGTTATGCCGATTGATAAAAGACAATGGGCGTTAATCAGTTGTCAGAAAAAAAACGGATACTACAGACCTAAATAAACTATAACTATCCATGCTATAACTGGTTTGTGCTTTATATGTTAATGTTATAATAATCAGAGGGGTAAAACGGTAATATGGCGGTGTAAATTTAGAAAATAGAAACGTACTAATCACACGTGTTGCCCAGTGAGAAACAAGAAGACTAGGATTTGCGCAATAAAATTGCGACTATGGCAAAATGTTCAAAAACCCAATTGGTTCGATTGGATTGAAATTGCATCGCAAAAATCGATCATATATCAGAACAGACATATCAGATTGAATCATGGATTCGAGCGAGAGATAAAATCGCGCGATGTCTCCCCTGGGCGTCCTTCGCCCAGCGAAGCTTTTTAAACCTACATTTAAATCCGCGAAAAACTTTAAATCACCACCCACTACAAAATCAACCGGTCGCGGGCAGACGCGCGCGCGGAGCGGGATTTGAAAGTTAAACAGAATTTACATTGCACGGCGAAGCCCAACCTCAAGTGGGTCACTCGGGGAGTCACCGAGAAGACCGACGGGATATCGTGTCTGGACCCAATTAAAGTTCCGTAACTCGCGATCTGTACACGTACATTATTTACTGAGACGAAACGGAAAAAAAACGGAAGAGGAACGTAAAAATGAAGAAACTTCGTTAACTCTTCCTGTTGGCCTATCGTTGTACAGTCGACTTCGCCCGTTTTCTACGAATTTCGTGCCGTTCGAATTTCGTCCCTCCTCTGTACATCGCTAAACTTTCCGTTAATTAGTTATGCAAATTAATTGGGTATCTTTGACAAGAATGCAATAATAGAGATCAGGGGCAAAATAGCGAAGGATACTGTCGGGCCAGGTCTCGATTGTGAAGAAGATCGGCGCGAACACGTTCTGGATGACGCCCAGTATATGGCCCTCCACCTTGTCGTTCATCGACCCGAAGAGAATGCGCTCGCGAAAGTTCTCCGGGTGGAGAATCTCATTGGGCTGTCTCACGAAGTAGGTTAGCTCGTGCACGGGCGCCGTAGGAAATGAAAATTCTGTGGTCAGACTGCCGTTCATGTGATAAATGCAGAGGACCGGAATGCTCGGTTCGTGGAAGAACTCGCGGATGTCCATGTCGCATTTCCACGTCCAATCGTTGTCCGTCAGACCGCTCAGCGTCGTCATATCCTTAACACACCGTATCTGAGAAAAGGCACCGAATTTTTCGGAATACTTGCTTCTAGTCCAAATGCATAAATCGATTTTCATGTTTTTGTGACAGCGTCATATATCATTTCTGAAGGTATATTTGTCTCAATGTGGAACAAAATTAAAATTGTTTAAATATATTTACTTGAATATAATTATTTGTTTATAATTTGTGTAATAAAAAGATATTGTGTTTACGCCATATTTTTGTCAAATAAATGTTAGAGTCAATATAGCGAAAATATAAAATCATTACCATTCATCAAACGTACCAAAATTGTAATTCAATATTGTACAGTTTATTTGAAATAATTTTAGAAGTTGCTTACCAATTTATCTAATTCGTCCATCTCATATATCGGACGCAGCTCGTCCGTCACATCCTCTTCTTCACCTGCAACAATATTCATCCTTGATAATCTCTGTCGTAGATTGCGGTTACATCGCGACAAGTAGATTCGAAAAACGCGATCTCCGATTTTCTCGTGCGTCGCGACGACATTTATCGTCGGAAAGGCGACCTCGTAACTAATATAAGAAGCATTTGGAAAGAGAAAACAAATTCTACGGAACGCGGCGCGCCGGCCGTTCGTTAGTCGTCGATTGGAACGGCGCGATGGGCCCTAAATCCGCCAGCCTGGTTAAATAGAAGACATTCGTTCCAAGAGGGTCTCTCCCGGTCGTCCCGATATCATTCCTCAGGCCTTCTCCGTGTCTCGGTCCCACATCGCTGGGCCATCGCCGCCGCCCATTCCGCCCACCCATGCCTTTACTCTTGGCAATCTAATAGGAACTATAAATCGCGAGTAGCTAATAAATCGACGGAAGAGGAAACACGTCGCGTCGCGATCGAGACGCTACCGTAGGCCACGTTGGGGCAATTTATCCCGCTGTGATGGCAGACATTATGCAGATACGATGATGTCATTGATGTCTTCTTTGGCGACATGCAACGACTTATCAGTCTCACGTATATACTTTATTTCTCAAAAATCGTTTTGTTATTAAAATAGTTATTTGGCACGGAATGAGAAGAAGTTGTAGGTAGATTCATGTAGAGCCTTGCAATTCGAATTACAATTAACTAGAAAATAATAAACCAATGTTGTTTATATCTTATTGAAATAGTCGTTTGCTTTATGGACGCGTCATTGAGAATCACAAAAATGAAGAAAATGCATTTATATGAAATGTTATGAATACTACATATTTTTAAGAAGAATATTCTTTAGATACGATTAAATAATAATAAAACGCAGCAATTTTTAATCTTTTTAACCCACTATCAAAGTACACGGTCACTTTGTCGTACGAATAATTGAAATCACCCGGCTCCGTGAATTAATACGAGATCGGACAGAGCATTTTACCGCAGCTGGCCAATGACAAAATTGCCATTCTCGATCATCCACGTAGGTAACGTGACGTTAATCGTTTGTGGATTAAGGATTTGTAGATCCCACTGTGCCCGAACAAGAAGAATAGGCTTTGAGTAATAACGTTAGTTTGCGTTGGGGTGGGGGGAGAAGAGGAGGAGGGGCGAATAGACGCAGGTAGCTTGCATATAGATTATCGGTTTATCTAGTTCACCTACTTTTGGATCGTGCAAGTACCATGGGAACTCGCGAGAGAGGACGAATTAGGTTCATCTTCCAGCGTGCGATCGAGGTCGAAGGGTAAATTGCCATAATCCCGGCGACAAATTAGGAGCCGGAAGCAGCAGCGCGGAACCTGCGAATGACCGATTAATCGTTGCAAGTGGCCGGCTTATGCACGATATATCATAATTATTGAAATTGTTGAAATTGAAATGAGGATTGGCTCGTTAAATGTCAAGTACTCTCGACGCGTACAATCATACATCCCTGTTACATCTATTTCGTCTTTAAAGTTATCGTGGAATTTATGGTTACCGAATGCACTCGCGGGAGCATACAAAGCAGCCATTGTAATTGCAAATTGGACGCGGCCATTCGTCGAATCCATGTCCAAATTCAAGCGCGTCCCTGTCGAGCGAACTTGCTTCAAATTAGCCGCATTATGGCTAACGTCGTCGTTGTTATATTGCTGCCTTGTTAATATTTGCAGAAGTATCGAGGAAATTACGTCCACCGTAACGACTCGCGTATAAACTAGAAAATGAATTAAATAAACACATCCCCCTTAATTAATCAGCGCCGTGCTGTAATGAAGTATTCAAAAATTTATCAGTCGCACGTATCAATCGCAGATATCGCGCATTGAGCGGTAATGGAATTAGCGTGTCGTGATTTATGGCAATTGGAAATTGTGATATTTGGAAAAGACGGAGGGAGGGGGAATCGAAATAAAGCGGATAATGGATCTGATCGAGAATCGTGAAAAGCGAAAGTATTTAATATCTCTTTCACGAATGTGTTGTGTGATTGATTCCGCAGTATCTTTGGATTTAACGGTGGAATTGGACATTACGCGACAGTGCGCGACGAGGTCGTACGAAACAGAGGTTGAAAACGACGGGCTCGAAAGTGTCGAAAATAGGACAGGCGGGGCGAAGAAACAGAATCCGGGAAAGGAGCGGAAAATCAAGAAAGTTGAAAACGGGAAAGTAGGTGCGTTTAATATTTTTCTCGTAAATCTTACTGTGCTTTTCCGCTTCATCGCTGGACTCGGCGTCCAAGTACTCTCGGCGTGGGTCCGGGGGCGGCTTATCTTTAACTTTATTTCTCCGTCTTTGCATTTTATTGACGGGGTGGCCTGCCGGCGTCGTCACCTCTCTCACACGAGTCTGTGCAGCTGATTTATGCGCCCGGTCCGACTGTTACGGCAGCGAATCTTTCAGCGTTTTCGCCGTAGATATCCTGAAGCACCGTCGCGAAGTTGCTCGAGAGCAAGAGGAGTGGTCTCGGCAATAGATCGGCTTTTGGGGACCGATCGTTCGTTGTCGAAGGGGTTCTCAATACCTCAGAAAAATATCGTCTTTGGTCGCTGTTTAAATTATAAGACTACACGAAATAGAGAAGTTACTGAAATATTTATAAAATATTTTTATCGGTTATGTAAATAATTATTGTAAAATAACTTTTGTTATTTAGTAATCGCAATTAATATTAAGAACATATTAACTGTTTTTGTCAAGGATAATGTTTTATAAAAAATATTGCATTATTAATTTTACATGTTTCTTTGATTTAATTTAACTTTTTAATATTAATTTCTATATAATATATAACATATAATATATTTATATTTTGGTATATTATTATTAAGTTATCTCTCCCAATAAATTGAAGCTTCAAAGAGCTAATGAAAACTTTCCACTTCGTTGCATATATTACACGTTTCGGTGAGCAAATCGCGGAACTTCAGTTTATTAAGTTCATTGTGGCCGCTTATTCGTTAAAATTACGTACATTACCTCATTTCAAAGCTGCTACCTCATTTGTACTAGAGAATAATCACGTGCATTTTGTATATGAATAATTGCTGCACTTGTTATAAGACGTATTAAATACGTGCGGGGCAATCTCTTTTAATGTAAAAACGTTTTTTGTCATCCCTGATTTCACATAAGGTTTCAGAGTAGGTAATTAAAATGGTATTAAAGCAAACAATAAAATTAGAATAGCTTGGATTAGAGAGAGAAGGTGCAATTTAAAGAGAAAAATATTAACAAGTTTTTTACATGGTATTTAGTTTAAGCATTTGGATAGATACAATTTAAATTATATAATTGTTACATATCATATATACTAAAAATATTCAAATATTATATATATTATTAACAAGAGGGTTATCTGCATAAATTTGTGAATTATAGTTTGTTGAAAAATGATATACGTATATAGAAACGTATAGATGCTCGTTAATTATTAACATTGCTAATTAGTATTTTTAATCAAAGTTGTTAGCTTTGGAATAAATCCATTTTTGTCGTTCGATAATATGTACGTATTATCTGCACTTCTCTTATTCAACTTGTTGACTATTATTTGCTTACATTTATATAGTTATTATTTCGTCGATAAAAGTCGATCGTGAATGTTTCTTGCGGATAAAGCAAAAATGTTTACATATTAACACAAAAGAAAAAGGCCATATATTGACGTCTGCGATTTTCCATTTTATTACGTATTTTAATATTATCAAGATTTTCTTTGTTTCATTAAATATAAAACATTAAAAATAAACATTAAAAATAAAGAATAAATAAAAAGATCAGAAATATATATGTAATTTCTATACAATAGCGAAATGTTTCCAATGTCACCATATGTAGAAATATCCGGAATATTTCACAACGTATGACAAGTATTTAAACGATATAGCATTTAGATTAAAAATAATAAAAATGTTTATATAAATTATATAAAAACTTGTTTTTTTAAAGAAAAATTAGTACTTATAATTATTACACAAATCTCATATCAATAAGTGTATTAAGTGAGATATTTAAAATACAGTTTATCTTGAGATATACCTAGATAGTCGAATCCATAGTTACATTTTGATTAAAGATTAACTGAATATATCTTTAGCTGAAAAGTGGTGTGATTACTTCCGTAAATTATCTGACGCCATTACAACATTGTACAAGAATTTTGCAATACAACAATACATCACAAAATAGTCATTAAATCTTACATTATTAAATGTCTTTGTTTTAAGAGATATAAAATTAAGTTATTAACAAATAAGATTAAATAAGTTGTAAAAAGAAAAAATAAGACTGATAAAATATATCAGTTTTTACAAGAATAAATATAGTTAATAAATCATTATCATGCTTTTTTATACAATAAATTAGTTGCAAACATCTGATTAAATAAATCAATTAAAAAGTTTATATGAGAATAAAATATTTTCTCTCTGCCTTTTTATTGTATGTATATATAAAATATAATACATGTTGAAACAAATTCTAATTGAAATTCAATTGATTCTAATTGAAATTCTATTATTTAAATAGCAAGATTTTCTGAAAAAAAAAGGTTGCAAATTTATAAAAGCAATTTGTTATGGTATAAAAGCTGCTTATGCCTACAATTAGTTAATTTAATCATTATAAACCTATTTCTTGTTTAAAAAATATATTATTTCTAATTGTTCTAAAATTTAAATATGCAATTTTACTCTTTAAATAAACAAAGAATCCGTTCATTTTTTTTATATTTCTACTATACTTCTACCACAGGATACTTCTACTACAGCGCACATAAAACCGGCCGCAAAATACAGTTTTAAAGTTATATTTCGTCCGCGTCTGTCTGCTTGTGAGTCATGCGGTATTGATGTATTCAATTGAGCAACGCGTTTTTATTGTGGAGGAGTATGTCCGCACATCTTTTTCCGTGAATGCGACATGCGCGCGGAAACACGAAATATCTATAACTTTAAAACTGTATTTTACGTTTGGGGCCGGTTTTATGCGCGCCACCCTGTATAATTATTTAACAGAACGTTGACAAATTACCGTCCATATAAAAATAATCGTAAAACGTCGATTCAAATGTCGCGTATATATCGGCGAAATATCATGACTTGGCTGGTATGAGTCGTGTTCACTGGTACGTGATCCTGATGCGTAGCGCGCACAGAACCGTCCATCGCGGATATCCGGTTAGATCGACGGACACGAGCGAAAGGAGAAATTGCACAGGTTGGTTATGGGAGGGGCAGGTCGATGGAACGAGATTAAAAAAGGCGAAGCTACAAGATTAAAAGGCAAAGCGGGACCTACTCCGAATTGAACGGCGTCGGTTGGCTGCTCGCGGAGACATTTATATTCCCGGGAAATCGTTATTGACCGATCAGAGAACCCGAATGGCTTTGTCGCGCCGTTTCTCCCTTTCTTTATTTCATGCACCCTTCCTTCGTAGAGGAACGAGACAGCGCGTGAACATCGACATCTGTCCTGCCAAGGGTTTCCGCAATATCCCTGCGCGCACACTCGCTGCGAATCGCAATCAGAAAGCGTAACCGTCATTCAAGTGTAAATATTTCGGTTACAATAGATCGGTAATATTCCAAGCGGTCTTTCCAAGGCACTTTTTAATGTGGCACTTTTTAATGTGTAATACGTATAGAAAAATAAAGACAGAATTTAATTAATACGTATACAGAAAAAAAATAATGTTGTGTAAACAACATCAGTGTAATTGAGATAAAACCTATTGATGCGCAACAATAATATTAATAAGCAAAAAACATCAGATAATTGTGTTTAAATATTTAGTCCAATAATATCCCAGACAGCACACATGTCCAAAAGCGGATAAGACATCTTTTAGACATCTTACGAAAAGATGGCTGAAAGACGTCTAAAAGACGTCTTATGTCTCGATTTTGGACATTGTGCCGTCTGGGATCCAATTGAACTAACTATTTATGTTTGTGGCAGCCCGTGACTTCGACGTTTAATTGAAGCAATTTTTTTTTTGGGTAAAGAGTATAAAAGTCTAAAATGTTTTATATTAGAGAGATTAAATTCAGCCACATTTAGTTAAATGCAGTTCCAACCAGAAGCAAAAACAAGGTCCCAATGTTTTCGAAATCAAACGAGAGATTCACAATGGGAAACATTCCGGGCTCTTCGTCATAATTTTCCTCGCCGATAGCTCGGCAATAGTAATAGCTGTCTGAAGTTCTCTCAGAAATATGGACCAAAACCCCAAAACATACCTACAGACTATGTAGACCGGAAAACGGAAATTGAGGTGGAACAGTTTTGAGACGAGTTTTGCCAGGAAGAACTAGTTATGAAACACGGTGCATCGGCGCGGCTGGCGTAGATCGAGAACTTATGTAAAACTTAATCGAGTAACACAGACATGTACATATTTAAACGCATTTACAGTCGCTGGTAAAATAAACACGTTTTTGACTACGTTTCTATATTGCAATTTCTATATTTAAACATTATATTTAGCTTCTATATTTAACAGTAACAGTAAAATAAAGGAAAATATAATTGGAAAATTTGTCTTAATAATTCGTTTAAATAATTTTGTAATTTTGCCACTTTTTATAGTTTTGTAATTTTTCTTTTTTACATTTTTGTTTAACATCTCTCGTTGATAGCGATTGGCCTAATAATATTGCTACAAAACTACAACAAAAATAATACTTATGTAATTAGAATCTTTCAACATAATTACAATTACGTAATTCTTTAAAAATTAATTTGTTAATTTATTCTTTATATTTTTTAAACAATAAATGACATTTGTATTTCTTTTGTTATATTCAGGAGATGTACGTAATTAACATCTGAAATAAATTACTAATTTATAAAAGCTTTCATGGATTTGATGCACGTGCGTGTAGGTGTCTTTATTTGTAGCAAATAATGTGAAATAATATGGAATACAGTTCGATTTATTATAATTACTTTACAGATTGCAGTATTTGCGATGTAGTAACAAGAGGATATTGATTTCTGTTACATAACGTGAAAGTTAGGCGTGGGTGCAATTGGGCCGATGTAATAGGTTTGTCTGTTTAAATTATAGGAGGTAAAGTCGCGGGTTGAGTATCTGATGCATACAGAGATAAATTGTGTTCTTCCCATTAACTCGGTTTGCGGTCGTGCACGAAAAATAATTAAAAAACATTCCGATCCAAGTGTAGGTATCCCCGTTATTGTTCGCCGAATTAATTAACATCCCGATATTTCTACTTCAAAACGAAACTGGGTCGACTGTCGAAGTAAAAGCAACCATAGTTATCATATATATGGAT